CTGTATAAACTAAATTTTTTTTCATATTACTGTAAACCTAATGGGTTTTGATAAATTTACTCTGCACTACGGAATTTCCAATAAAAAGAAAGAAAATTAATTAAAAAGACCATAGATTAAAAATAAGTCAGGCGTAACATATTTTTAAAATATGTTAAAGCATAACTATTTTTACATAATGAAATTTTGTAAATTAAATTATTATTTGTGGCTTTTATTTATTAAATCAATTAAGAACATAATCTCAAAACAAAATTTAATGACAAGAAAGATCGACGTTTCGGGTCCATCATGGAACCATTCTCATGATTAAGTAAATTGAAAAAACTAAAAACAAAAATTCCAAGCAGTGACAGGAAGTAAGTAATTAATTTACATATCAATAAGGCCTACTGTGTGGAGCCACAGTGGAGCTAAGCAATAATTAGCACTTTTTAGCAGATTAACTAGATAAACAGTTTGACTTTGACTGAATCAGTTTGTTTGTTAAGTGTAGGTTTCAGTTCTTTGATCCAAAGCATTTCTTAAATTAAGCAATCAAACTTGGATTTGCACGTAGATAAAACCTTGAAAAAAATTAACAGTTTCAGTAGCACTAATATAATGATCTTTTAAATGTTGTCTTATGTTACCTTAACTGCGCATAATCATTTCTTATTTAAAATAGAATTATTTAATCAATCAGTAACTTTTGTTTTTTTAAATGAAATTAATTATTTTCACTTTTTTTATACCTTGTTTGACGAACTCACTGACTATTGTACATTTTACTGTACTGTATATATGTATTCCTACTAAAAAGTTTCTAATACTAATTTAACAGCATCTTTTTTAACGCATGCAATGTTAATATTTTTGAAAAGTTGCTTTGTAAGTTACAGTATTATAACCATTTATTGCCAATATTATTATTATTATTATTATTATTATTATTATTATTATTATTATTGTCATTTCATAAAACAAATGAAATAACAAATAAACAAATTAAGGGTCCCCTAAAATAAGGTGTAACTGTAGTTTCTGATTACATAACTAAATAAGCAAACCAAAACTTTAATATAATGAAGGAACTCTGTATTTATTCCATAAAATAGATGATTATTCCCAAATAAACAAGAGATAAATAACACCTGGACTTTTAGACATGTTGTTTATATGGCATTTCAAAACAAAAGGCTTTTATTTATTGGGTACAGCATAGATTCTCAACCAATAAAAAATCTTTTTAAAAAAAAAAATTGACCAATTGAATTGTACTTAGTTGTCACTTACACAATCACAGTGTATTAGATTACAAAATTACATACATCCCAAACCACATCAGGAGATTACAAAATTACATACATCCCAAACCCCATCAGGCCCCCCCCCCCCCCCAATTTGACAGGTCGTTGGAATAAAAAAATAAAAATGTGACATGCCTGTCACAGTCTTGAGAGTGTCATTTCTGGCCATCCAGAGGTTCCAATTCTTTAAAAATATAGATATTTAATACTTGGACATGTTTTCAATATAAACTTTTCGTGTTTTTTTCTGTTTTAAAATGTTTGTGCTCGTTAGCAATTTAGATTTATTGTTGATGTTATCCATGACATGGTAATACGTACTGCGAAATGCTAGGCCTCTAAAAGTCCCCATAGTTGGTAGTCACCACGTTATTGGAAATTTTTATTTCAAATTTCACGAAAATGGTTTATAACATTCCCTGCAAGTTCGTCGTTCAAAACTGGTGCTGAATCAATGTTTTAGAGCCACCCATCAGAGCCATTAATAATAATAATAATATTAATAATTGACTGCAAATA